GTAAAAGATAAAAAGAAATAAATTAATTTATTTTTTTTTTCTTAATCGTATATGATATCCATGTTATCACTTTTTCCTCCGAAAGGTCTGTGTTCCATTGGATTGTTCATAACATCGTCTTCATAATCTTCAACATAATCTTCATCGTAATCATCAGATGAAGAATCCAAATGTTTTTCAAAGTAACTGTTTCTTTGCTTTTCATATGAGGACATAGTTTCTCTTTCAAAGTCCTTAAAGTCTTCTTTCGTCATGCCTAGGGGGTTTTCTGATTGGTATTCTTCTAAATCATTGTTCCATTCTTCTTGGATACTCTCGTTATCTTGTTGAGACTCTCTTAGCATTTTCTTTAATTGTCGATTGTTTCTTCTTTTTTCTTTTATTTTATCATTAAATTCTGTTAAGAAGTCTTCGTCATAGCCTAAGTCTGCCAAGAGTGTTGTCATTCTACTATAGAATGAAACGTGTTCTGGTGTATAATCCTCTTGCATGGTCGTATCTTCATCCTGTTCTTCTAAAGCAATATATTTCTCTTCGAGGTCTTTTTGTGGGTCATAATTAGTCTCTTGTTCTTGCATATCTTCTGATGGATTATCAGATTCTTGCGGATCTTTATAAATCTTTTTATCTAAGAAGACCGTTAAAGAGTTTCTTCTCCACCATGAGTATCCTCCATTTTCACGCATTAAATTTACAACGTTTTCGTATTCTTTCTGATTAAGCAGATGGATGCACGGTCTCGCAGTTACGATTGCTTTTGAATATTTTATATTTACCACAGTCTTCTTATTTATTGTTGAGGTAATGGCTTTAATTAAACGTACTGTGTTTTTATCATAGTTAATATCGTCTAATAAAATAAATCTATATTGCTGTTCATCCTCATAGGTATCGAACAGGGAATCTCCGCGCAACATAAACGTGTTATATTTCATAAAAATTTCCTGGACAGCAAATTCTGTCTTCCCTGTCTTTGTTGGGCCGACAATAAATAAATTGCCCATACGGTATTTGTTTCCTGAGGCACATTTTATCCACTTTCTGATTGTTTTAATCTCCTCCATATCTTCTCTCCATGGAAGTAGATCCGTTTTCGTGTATTGTTCCATGTCTATTCTCCTAGCATTCTTCCTCATCCAACGAGCTTTAATGCGTCCCTCTTGTTGGATATATTTTTCTGCATTTATCTCCATTAAATTTTGTTCTAATTCTTTATAGTCTCGATATGAGTCCATATCGTTCAGGGCGTTAATCCAGGTTTGTTTTAATTCTTCCTTCTTATTTGGATCTCCTTGGTGTAGCCCTTCCCCCTTCTTAGTTATATATTTGATTATCGCGGAGATATCGCCTGTTCGTGATGTATATGAATTTACTCTGGAATACCAGAAAGTCTGTCTGGTTCCATCAGAATGTGTAATTATTGGTCTGGCTTTAAAGGAACGTGGTCTTTTTAATACTATTAGCATATGTTGGTGTGGACGAGGATTAATTTCATCGTGTTCTGTTGGTGATATATGTGCATATTGCACGTTACTGGTAGCTCCTGCCATCCTGTCCACAACTTCCTTGAATTGGATATTGTTCTTTATTTCATCGCCCCATAGTGTAAGGTATAGGTATCTGGAGGTGAAATGTAATGGTTTATTAGACTTTAATGATTCGTTGAGGTGTATAAAATCTAATTTGGTAGGTTCGGATGAGAATTGGTTTGTTGACATTGAATGTTTGAAAGAAAAAAAAAACGGTTCTATTTATATTAAGTGATGAGGTTTTTGCTGGCGTGGAAATGCGTTGGAAATTACGTCAATGAGAGGAACTTGTATATTTAAACTGGTAAAAAATACAATTTAATAACGAGACATTGATGACCAATTTTTATGGAAATAGGGACGATATCCATTATGAAGTATTGAGCAAAGATATAGCGGATGTTTATATTGAAAGCCAACGTGATCCAGAAGTGAATACATTTGTTAAAAAATTGTATTATACTATGAAAGAACCTTCCTATATGGATTGGAAAATGAATTCATCGGGTAAAGTTGAAGATGACGAAGAGAGAAGTCGTATATTGAGATCAAAACTTGAGAGTATTTTACGTAGTGAACGTTTATCCCAATTCTTGGATGAAAACGGTATCAATTTGAATGCATACAATACTTGGGTAAAGAAGAAGTTCTCTAAGGGTGTTAAGAAGGAGATGAAAACAGTTGATTTACCCGAATGGGTAAGACGTTACTCTAAAAAGAGGAAAGATGAAGATGCTGATGAAGACGAAGAACAAGGAGCTTTACTTAAGAATAATAAATACCCCGATGAAGAAAAGAAGCCGAAGAAAGCCGAGACTAAAGATAAGTAACAACTT